CACGCCTCACATCATCATACAACGTTGTAGATGGGACTGAGGACGTCATAACCGCAACAGTGGCTGTCTCACTGTTGGGTTTCGCGACTGTTTCAAAGTCGGGACGACGTGAGAGTGCATCAGCGACGACATTAAGTCGTCCTGGTTTGTACTCGACCGTAAAGTCGTATTCCGCAAAGAATGACAACCACCGCGCCATTCGTTGTGAAAGGTGCGGGCTGTTCACTGCCGTGCGTAATGACGCATGGTCAGTGTAAACAATGAAGGGTCTATCTCCTAATAGATAGACTCTGAACTTCGCGAGTGCATACTTCATGGCAAGGAGTTCCTTGTCATGCATGGATAGTTCCACTCAGCTGGTTGCAGCTGACGCGACTGATAGCAGACGACGCGTTCAACGCCTTCTAGGTCGTACTGCATTAATGCACAGCCGATTTCAAAATCGCTGGCATCACAGACCACATGAAATGGCCTGTCTTGATCGGCTATTGCTAGGAATGGAGATTGTATCAAACTCTGCTTGATACCCTCAAAGGAGCGCTGACATTCAGCGTTCCATAACCACCTCTCGTTCTTTTTCAACAAACGAGAGAGGTGCACAGTCATCTCGGCGTAATTGCGTGAATACTTATGCAAATACGCCGCTAGCCCAAGGAATTTTCGAAGACCTTTAACATCAACCGGCACAGGCCAGTCGGTGGTCGCCTTGATCTTTTCGGGATCAGGACGTACACCGTTCTTACCAACGATGCACCCAAGAAGTGGCATTTCGCTTGCTGCAAATATACACTTCTTGAGGTTAGCATACAATTGATGCTTTCGCATGATTGTAAGAACTTGTCGGACGTGGTACCTGTGAACCTCAACGTCCGACTTTCCATCCATAGCCCGACTATGGATAAATACGTCATCGAAATAACCCGGCGCGAATTCTCGTACTGGTCTCAACAGATGTGATACACACCTGTTGAACGTGGCAGGGGCATTACTAATCCCTTGTGGCATTACTAGTCATTCCCAAAGCATGCCGCTAGGCGTGCTAACTGCGGTATAGGGTATATCCCGTTCTCGCATAAGGATTTGATAGAAGCCATCCATCAAATCCATGGACGAAAAGATGGTACTCTTTGACATACCATCAATGATTACGTCCTTCCTCGGTATCGGCGTCTGAGCCGGTACCGTTGCAGCGTTCAATTTGTTAGATGCATGCACTATCCGCCACACTCCTGTTGCTTTTCGCACACAGAAGGTCGGAGAGCTATGTGGGGAAGTTGATTCCCTCACATGGCCCGCAGCTAAACGATTGGCAAAGAACTTGTCGATCGCAAGTACTTGTTCACGAGGCAGTGGCCACTGCTTCATGACACAGTACTTCGAGCCTGGTTTAAGCTCGACCTCGAGTCGAATACCTATATCCTTCGGTAATTCGCACGGAACAGTTTCAGGGAATACATCCTTGAATTCAACCAAATCTTCGTAGAGAGGATTTTCCTTGAGCGATTCCCACGATTGGGAGTCAAATCGCTCAATTCGTGTCTTTTCATCTAGGACACTCTCGTCCATAGATGAACTACTGAGAACTCTCTCGTTATCAGTAAACACTGTTGCTGACCTTACGTCGGTTACACATTCGTCGTCAGCGGCGAGTACGCAGATCTGCTTGACTTTGCCACTACGCAGATCACGCAAGAACCTTTTATGTTCGAGGGTTGGCAACTGAGTGATCTCCGAAGTCAACTTCGGAGGCGCAATCAGATCAAGTGTAGGCGCTTCTACACTTGATCCGTTACTGACTATGACATTCAATGTCTCTGTCATTTCCTGGGGACTTATTCCCTCAGGCTTCGAAGGACTTATTCCTTCGGCTTCCCGGGGACTTATTCCCGCGGGTTTCGGGGAACTTATTTCCGCCGTATTTGTAATCTCGGGACTTATTCCCTTTACTTCCTCTAGCTGGGGTTGCGCAACTACAGCGAGATCCTCTACGAAAGACTCTCCAGTCGATCTAGGATTATCGTTTCGCTTAACCTGAGCGATCGATTGTTTCTCTTCTAGATGTTTTCCGCTAGGGATACATCTTTGTCCCAGCCCACCCGACTTATTCGAGTGGTGGACCTTCGGTGCAGCCTGTGTTTCCTCACAGCCGCCGGAACTTTGCTCCGAAGTGTAACCGTTTGGTACACTAAGGTTTTGTGCAGTCGCACTAACGACCGTACCACAAGTGAGGTCATCGCACTCACTCGTAGTACATCCACACGCTTGTGGACGCTCCAAAACGTTCACCAGATGGTTATCTGATGAACAAGCGGCAGGCATAGTTACTGTTCGATGTTGCCAGTTTACCCGTGGTTCGTACCTTCTGAGCCACGGTATTCCAAGGATGACATCAAATTTGTCATCTAAATCCAATACGATAAAGTCATCGTCATATTGGGTATCTTCTAGCGTATAGTGGATCTTCACTATACGCTTCATGACGGTTACGGATGCGCCTGTCGCAAGACGTACCGTCATCCTCGTAGGAGGTGTGTCACATTCACTGAATTTAAAGTGACCATCTTCTAGCGATTGGCGTCGCACAAAATTGTTGGACGCCCCACAATCGACTAGAGCTCGAAGGGACAACTTATTCGTCACTTCGAGTTTCAAGGTAATGAGTGAGATCTCATTACCTAGAGCAGCAACGCACAACGTTTGTGTGTTGGGAGCAACCTTCGTCAAGAGGCCTACAAATTCTCTTGACGTTGCTAGACCAGTAGGGTGCTCCGCACCTACTGATCCTGTCCGTTTTTTGACGGTCCATCCCGTTGTTGCGTCTTTGCACCAACAGCGGACCCTCGTCCCTGCCCCTTTCTCATGGGTGGACGGTCACTACGTCCAGTGTCTCGCGACACTGGACGAGGGGCACTACACTCGTAAGCGTAGTGTCCTGTCTTTTGACATCTTTTGCATTTCTGCAACTTCTTGTAGTCTGCAGAGCGAACCTTCTCGCTCTCTACATAGCAGAGTTCCATCGGCTCCGGACCTCCGCTGACATATCGTCTCGGTTGACGATATGATGTCGAGCTGGCGCGAGCCTGTCTCAGACTGAAGTCTTCCTGCTCCGCAATGGAAATGGCTTGTTCTAGTGAATCTAGTTCAAGCCGGAACCGGTGAGTCTTGACGGGACCATCCGCAAGACCCTGCATGAACACCGAAACCAACGTGTGTTCATCCACCGGATTGGAACTTATACAACTCGTGAGATGTCGTATATGTTGCGCGTAAGCGTGCACATCACGCTTACCCTGCTTGAGCTTCAAGAGTTCGATTCGAGCTCTGAACTCAGCTCTAGGCGGTTCAAACGTTTGTCTGAGCCGCGACTTGAAGACTTCCAACGACCCAAACGCATATGGGTCGTGCAACTTGAGCCCCAGTGCCCAAGTCTTGGCACGTCCTGCCAGATTTGACTGGGCAAATGCTACCTGCATATCCCCGTGGTCGATGCGACGCGCCCTTATGGCGTCATCCAATTCGACAAACCATCTCAAGAGGGAGTCCTCTTCGACTCCCCTATACTTGGAGATGTCAATCTTCAAGGTTTCGGGTCGACGCGAGTGCATCGGCCCACCAGCAGCAGCCTGCTGCTGTCTCAACAGTTCAAACTGTTGAGCACCCTGTTCTCTCAACAACTCTGCTTGTTGAGAACCTTGTTGGTGAAGCAAGGCTACTTTCTCGCGTTCGGCGTCAAGATCATTTTGAATGAAATTGGCGATAGTAGCATGTTGGGCATCTCTATTGAGAGCCTCTAGCATGACGCTAACAGCATGGATGCCCATGTTTGAACCCATCCGTTCAACCGCATCCCATTCGACATCGCGTAAATGGAAGTAGCCGTCACGCGTAGCGTGAAAGCTTTGGTCATCTTCATCATCCAACATGTTCATGTTAGATGTGAATGTGGTCCTTGGACGGACTACGAAGTGCTACCAGGTGTAACGGGGCACCCTGAAGCTTGTACTGGTGACAGTACAAGCTACTTATTCTGATGACAGAATAAGGCGGTGCCTCGGAACTTCACGTACACTCGTACGTGCAGAGGAAGACGGTAAGAAGAAGCGAGTACTTGGTTAAAGTAAAAAGTAGAACTGTATTTATAATAGTTAATGTCTGCAATAAATCACTATTCATCTTCATCTAACTATGTCTAAGTACAAATGTGTATATCAACTATCTGCTCACCACTAATTGCGTGCGTCTGTCGTGGAGCGTCTTCGTTGGTTGATATAATGGCCTTTATCAACCAATTAGGAACTACTCGTAAGTGCTACAGAATATTTGTCCTTATGACAAAATTTTCTGAGAATGTAACCCTTGTAGTTATATTCTATTAACAATTTCTGATAAATTGTTATGTAACGATTCACCCCGTTACAAGTAGTGTGAAGTGCCCTTGTCTTGAGTGCATCCGTACCTGTCACTCGCAAAATCATTGATTATCCTGAGGATCATGAGGGTCTTTCCTCGTACGGTTATTGGTTGCCCATACTTCATGCTTGTCGACAGGTAGGCCTCGCTGATTCCTTGGCGCACTCGTTCTATCTAAGTGATGCCAACGTTTTCGCTCGCAGACAAGTGGACACAGAATGCGGATCCAATCCTCCTCCTCTGCACTGTATCTCTTGAGATGTGCAAACGTTTCGAGACCGAGACGCGAATACCAACAGCGAAGTCGGTCGACCGTCAGTGAGTGAGTTCTCAACTTCTCCTCTTCCCATTCATTCTTACAAGTATTTCTGCTATGTTTCTGCAACGGAACCTTTTCGGCATGGTGCACTTACTGCTGCGTGCTTGAACGATGAACAAGAACAGTGTACTGCTGCGTCTGACTTTTTTTTGGTACATTACAGTCATTTAGAGAAACTAACGACCCGAAAATGCCCGTCCGATAGGGGCCTGCGCATCCCCCGCCGCTGTGCAAACTACCAATAGTGTTAGCAAAAACAACATATGGTTGCTTACCGAGGGTCGTCCCTCTGTCTGTTGGCTTGTCTAGCCGTATCCCATAGCGTGTCATGCCAGTGCACCAGGTCGCTACGTAAGTAGGTCGTAACGACCGCCCATTCGGACGGCAACAGTGCCACTTCAGGACCGAGAACCTGTATGCTGCGTCCTGAATCCATCGCGATCTTTGCCATGGCGTTCGCCATCTTTTTAAATGTCGAAGGTGATGAGTCCACGTGGCCACGCCCAGCCGGTCCCCCACCGATCGACATTGCCTGTACAGATCTTTGAGATGTTGAGCCTGCGGCGGCCTCCTGCACCGTAGCTGTCCAAGAATCAGGTCACCGTCCCAAACGACGTGTAGGCGTTGTAGATGGTACCCCAACGCCTTGCGAAGCCCAAAGGGAGAGCTTTGTATGCTGCTGCATTGTGTGTTGTAGTGCTTGCTGCGAGGGATACGCTGCACATCCAGCGCACCCCGGCCGATTCTAAAGACCCGGCATTCGTAATTATAATAGCGCCCGCACCACCCGGGCCGGGATTGCCACGAGACCCACCATCAAAGAAAAGCACGGCGGAGCTGTCATCGGCTAGCTGAGACATTCGTGGCACTTCTTCTGTCACAGTGTCTTCGAATGCCGTGCAAGCCACATCAGCCGCCGCTCGGATATCAGGAGAAGTTGTCGCCATGGTAAGATCACGTAGTGTCAGGTAGCCCTGTCGTAATCGGCCCAAAAGCATTGCCTTCGCCCGGTAGGAAGAGTTGTCCAGGGCGCCATCCCTGCATCTACACCGACGAGCCCAAATGGCTTGCAGGGTGTGCGTGACACCAAGAACCCAATAGTCCTCTAATATATCGAAACACCAGCTACGTATTCCTTGCCTCCGATCCGACGGTAAGTAACCATATAAGCGCCTCACGTAGTTCCAGATACCCCTGGGTACCTGAGGTAAACTGAGGCTAAATATTGCCTGTAAGTCCCCAGACGGGTCCGCTAAGCCTAGCCTCCCCCATGGATCTGCAAAGACCCGCCACAGAGTCTGCGCTGCTGTACAGTACCACCATTGGTGCGAATAGGTCACGTAAGTGTGAAGACACTCCGGTAAGGGGCACCCTGGAACCTGTCTTTGCGAGTCCCAGATGGAAGTGGCTCGCAGCTTAATGCGATGCCATAGCTGTTCTGCACAAACCGTACCACCAGTTATGCGTCGAAGTTTCGCCCACGAGATAGTGTTCAGTGCCTCCTCTAACCGCATACTATCTCCCGATCAGGCCACTTGCCGGTGTTTGACCTCCTGCAGCCCTATCCGCCGGGCCTCAGCTAAGACCGCCTGTTTTTAATGCGTTCTGGACCGCGTTAAGTGTCCTCGGGGTATTCTAATCTCCACCGCCCTGTGTAAAGCCGGGTGAGGTCCCACTTTACAGACTTGATAGGTCCCCCCAGTCCACTGCTAAATGACGAGCAGTGCCTCGTCCCACGAAGAGGCAAAAAAAGGGTGAGCTGTGTGTGTACCGTCCGTTGTTATAATAAAACGGACACCACCATCGTCTCGTCTCTCCGAACCGAGCCATACGTCAGAGGGGGCGTCAGACGGCACTGTCACGATCGGGATTAAAGTCTCGGGCCTCCGAGCATACATAATTTCAGGAAAATTGGCAATCAATGCATCCAGAATGGGTCTGAAACGGGGACTTGGCTTAATTCGTCGTATTGTAAAAACGAGAGACGGCCCAGAAATCGATGCTTAGGAAACATAACTGCTGACAGGGCCTAAAGACAGCTCCTGGATCCATTTGTCCGAGTCTTGCAAGGGGTTGCCGCTCTCATCGAGTAGCCAAAAATTACGGAGCTCTAATAACGGCAACCATTGCTCCACCATCGGTTCGTAAGTATCTCGAAGAAATTTACGGAAGCGTGCAAGGTTGGCACCAAGAAGTGACGAAATGTCGAGTGAGCAGGTGTTGTGTTCCCACCATAGACACAATGGAAGAGCCGCATCCACAAGGGTCTCAAACTCTGCTACAACGGTCATGTGCTCGGGTGTCGGGCGTGGGAGACCATGCTCGTTCATCATGCGTCTCCCCGCTGTCCACACCGTGTTTCCAACCCGAAAACCCGAGAAACTACGGGCCGTGTATCCGATCGTACAGCTGGTGGGGTGTAAGTTTGGCAGATTCTGCGAGGCCATCAGAATGTCATTTACGAGCATATCCGTACCCCGCGCAGTAGAGCTCCATTTTTCCACGGTGATTGCAGCCATAGCTAGTAATTCAGCGTTGAGTTGGGGAATAGCTAGCCCCCCCTCCTTGCTGGAAAGGACGGCAACACGCTCATTCAGCCAGGTCGAACAACGACTATCGAGGTCGCCAAAATAACCATGCCAAACGTAAGCTTTAATAAACTTGGTAAAACAAATTACCGTTGCGGTGGACGGCCACGCATGGCGTGCCACGTAAAGTAGCTTGGGAATGATGATGGCCTTTGCCACTGTGGCTCGTATTGCCACGGTAAGTGTCTTATGGCTTGCTAATCTTAGCCTCGACTAAAGTTGAGTCTTAGCAAGAGCCCAAGAGTGATCAGCTCCTCCTCTGCATCCTACCTGGAGACCAAGATAGCGTGTAAAGACCGTGACACCTTGAAGTTTTATCGGCCACGACCACGTAGTATCTGGAAGTAGTCCGTCTGGGTACAAAGCAATAGCCAACGTTTTTTAATAATGAGCCGCAACCCCAAGGCCTCGCCAAAAAGGGCTATTGTAGCGAGAACCTTCGGGGTTTTGGCTGGCGTCTTAACGGATATGGCCTTATCATCCGCATACCCTGCGACTTTTAACATTTTCTTGTTCGTAGCGGACTGTAGCAGGATGCCCTCGAAACACGTATGGTCATATAGCTTTTGATAAAGTGGCTCCAATGCCAAGATGAAGAGGAGGGGAGCCAGTGGGCATCCTTGGCGAATACCTCTGGTAATCGGTATCGTGCGCGAGCGAGTCCCGTTGGCTAGAAAGCAGCCGAAAATTCCGTGATTAAGGGACTGGATGACATCCACTAAATGGCAAAGTATCCGTGTTGCCTGAGTGCTGCAAGAAGACATGCCCGGTCCAACGTATCATATGCTTCAGCAAAATCAAATAAGAGTACTGCCGCATTACGGAAATCTTCCGTGTGTAAGGCGACGTCTTGGGCTGCGTGAAAGTAGTCTATAACCGAGTGAATACTCCTGTTCGCCACAAATCCATGTCGGTGCGAGTGGATCCGCCGGTGGAGGGTGCCCGTAAGTGGGTCGCAATGATCCGCGTCGTCAGCTTGTAATCCGAGTTAAGCAGTGATAAGGGGCGGTGATTGAGCGGGTTACTACCTTCCCTGCCTTTTTAGGCAGAATACGTCCGTTTCCAGAAAATAGACAGGGAAAAAAGTCGCGTTATACCACAGAGTAACATGTGCAGAAGCAACGGAATCAGAAGGTCGGAATACTGGATATACCAGTCATTGCCGAGGCGATCGGGCCCGCACGCCTTTCCCCTTTTAAGTGACTGGATGGCATTAGTTACCGTCGTCGTCGTTAATAGAATATTCATCTCCAGACAGCCTAGGTCGTCAGAGGGGCCCCGAGCCATCCAGTCTGTTATGGATGCCGGCGGGGCGGCTGCCGCCGGCCCGTTGAGAATTGGACTCCACGCGTCCGCGAGTATGTTTGCCTTGTCGTGCTGGTCGCGGGAAGGTTGGTCAGCTACCGGTGTAAGAACGGGGATGACATTGTCCATGAACTTACACGAGATACGCCGGAAACAATCCTTAGTAGTCTGTCCTCTACGCCAGGTATGTTGTCAAAAAAGCCGTCGCTGCTTGGATCGAAGCCAGTTCTGTTTAGTGTTCGCAATTACCCCCTCTAGCTCTTGATACCCGTCATTATGATCAATTAGGGTACTCTCAGGCCGCCCTCTCAAGTCCGACGCGGCAAGTATGTCCTGCAGTCGATCATAACGTCGATAAAGTCGTCGTATCTTTTTGCGATACGTATTGGTTAGACTTTTCTTCGCCTCGCGTTGGCGGGATAGAATGCCATCAACCAGAGAATGCTTAAAGGAGACCCATTTAGTGGCCGCCTCTGCCGCCAACATATCGGGTGGCTCATGGTGGTGGAGAGCAGATTTAATTGAGTCCGGACGTAGTCATCTACCCGTGTCTGAGCATACGGACGGATGGGGAAAACATTCGGTTCCTTTTTGATTCTTACTGTGTTTGCGGGGTCTCGGAGATGTAGTATGACTCCTTTGTGGTCTCCAGTGAGCCCGTATCTGTCCATTTCGTAGTTAGTGCCCAATGACGGGCAGCATCATCCACGTAATAACATTCTAGCCGACTTGAAGCTCTTCCATGTCCCGGCACCGTATACTCATAAGTATGGTAATTAGTGCGGTACTGGTGCATATCCTTTTTCTCTTGTAATCGCGGCATAGCGTAAAGGGTTGAGTCAGTTAGCAACCAATGTTCCAGCAACAGCCTGAGTGCCGGCGAGTCATGGTTCGTGAGACTACTGTAGCTGCGATCATGGTCAGGGTGGAGAGTGGAATTAAAATCCCCACCAACGTAGAATTGATTCCCTTGGGGGATTACAATGTCCCGCAATCCGGTAAAGTAGAGCTCTCGGGTCGGCTTTTCCGTCGGTGCACACACATTGACGAGTATCACTGCTTGTCCCTCGTAATCGCCCTGAATCGCCATAAAATGCTGTGACCAATGAGATATTGCGGAAAGGACCATATTCAGAAAACGCGAGCGTGGGTGATTGAGAATTCCAACCCCGCCACGCCTATTTTCGGAGGAAGACCAGTGGGACAACGTCGGGCAGTGATTACCTGATCGAAAATCCCATTGTGTCGCATGTTGTCGAACCATCTCGTGGATCTCTTGGGCTTGCACATGGGTTTCTTGGACAAAAACCACGTCAAAGTGTCCCCTTTGGTGCTGTCGCTTAAAGGATGCGATCCAGTCAGTCCGGGTTTGCTCAGAGCCCCCTAAACCTCTCACATTTTAAGTTAGCAGGGCCATGGTCCGGTCGGCCGGGTGTAGAGTAACCATTCGTCGATGATCGCGGACGAGTTAAAAGTCCTCACGTTCCCTACGGCGCCGGTCCTTCCGCCGAGCAGCGCGAAACATGTCAAAATCGGATCGAAGGGTGTGCATCCGGTCCTGAGAAGGAAGAACCGGGTAAAACTCAAGCAAGGAAGGCTGCTCACCCCCTTTCTGACGCAATTCAGCTGGGCCTCGTTTATTTGCGCGGCACAGAAGAAGCGTCTGCGGCTGCTGCAGACGCTAATCCATGTGTAAAGCGACACGCGGCCGCTTCAAGCGGAAGCTTCAGTGCCTTGCTCCAATCGGATGAGGTCGTGATTCCTTGGCTCCACTATTGCTGGAAAGTGTGTAAATACCAGATTGCGCTCGCGGCTCCAGGAGCCCGACACATAAGAATACACTTCCAATCCTTGACAGCAAACGGTAGGATATGGATGAGGTACCAATGAGTGACAGGAACACCAGACGGGTTGGGGAGGAGTAGTGAAGAGTCGACGTAGCGCCCTAAGTCGACCCAACGGTCGTGAGAGCTCGCTAAAGCATACGCTTCGACCGACTGCGCCGTCGAGCACTCATTTAGCCACGTTAGGCAGTGAGCGCGGGCCCTGGCATCGCTGTCGCAGTCATCGGCGATGCGTCAGAGCGTGTCTAGTCGGTGCTGGTACACTTCGTGTTGCCCCCAAGCCAAAACCCAATCAGCGGGGGCCGCTTGAACAGCCATCTCCGGGAAAGGCAAGAATCGTAGTACATGCCTCAGTGCATGCACGTGTCCCAGCATCCAATCTTGATAATCGTTCCAAGTGCCATTTCCAGGATGGTGTGGTGGCACACTAAAATTTGGTCTATAGGTAGACAACCAGGAGGTGAAGGCCGCTTGGTTCGCCTCGGTCAGCCGTTTAGCTTGACGGCGATCAGAAATAGACAGACGATCCGGGTCAGGGGTTTGTAAAATTCGCTCATATACAGCCGAGTGTGGGAGCTGGGCCGGGTGTGCCGCGTACCTTTTAACACTCAAGCCACTGTCAGTAGGGTCCACGTTTGTAACATGAGGTCCACTGGCATACACGTCAAGGCCCAAATCCTCCAAGATAGCAGCCTCCTCCGCCCGGGCTATTTCAGCCAAAGAATCCTCGTCATAGGGAGTAGAGTCTAATTTAGGTAATCCTACCTGTTGATGTACTAAATTCAATCGCTCGCGCATACTAGGCCCCTGCAGCGCGTTCCAGGCATTAAATATGTCGCCATGTTGCACACCATAGCATTTTCTCTGTGTGTGGTTCAATACTAGCATGACAAAATGACCTTGTTCTTATAACAAGCCTCGGGGATGACACGAACTCGCTCAACGTCAAGTACCAGCACGATGCCCGTTTCGTAGGCGTCCTCATCGGGCATCGCGAATGTCTGGAAAGAAAACTGTCGCGCGGAGCAGTTGCCGGTCTCGTCCACGCCCCATACATAAACCGGCTCCCTCAAATACATTGCAAGAGCACGAAGAATGGTAGTCTCACTCCAGAAAGCGCTGGGAAGCGCCGTGCTTACACATTGTTCCCTCGAGGCCGCATAATGAGCATATAGTGCAGCGGTCGCCGCCTCCACAGGAACCGGAAGAGTGGAAGTCTGGTACAGGCGTTCCAATTCATGTGCGGGGTCAATTAGCATCAATTGCACATCGTACCGCATGTTGGCCAAGATAAGATCCGTAACCTGCTGCTTAATGGCATTGATTTCCCGCGGTTTGGGCACTGAAGGATAAAACGTAGAAGCTTGGACATTCGTTGTGGAGGCAAAGATTGCAGAGTAGAGACTTTGCCCATCAGAGGGGACGTCAACCTGCAATCCATGCAAGCTTCTAATCCATTCAAATACCAGGCTGGGGGACTCGCCGTGATCCAGCACCACGCCCTCATTAGGTCCACTTCGTGACACCGGGATGATTTCTCCAGGCATCGTCGGATTTAGTGTCTCCATTACAATATCGTCCAAGTCAATCCCAGGGTCCATTGTGGCCTGAACAGGGGGCCAGCAAGAATCGTGGGTAGAATGGGGTTCTAACGAGATGCTGCGCTTGTCCGTGGACTGCCTCGTAGGTGCAGAAAGTTCTACTGCAACCGACCGAAGATTATCTTCGTAGTCTGGAAATGAGACTGGGGTTAAAGTAGCGTCCATGCCCACGTCCTCATCA